CAGCACCTCGGCGACGTTGGCGACGAGCAGACCGATGAGGAAGCGCTGAATATTGTCGAAGATCGCTCGGCCCTCGCGAATGCCCTTGACGATCGAGTCGAAGCGGTCGTCGGTCAGCACGAGGTCCGAGCTGTCCTTGGCCACGTCGGTACCGGTACCCATACCAATACCGACCGGCGCCTGCTTGAGCGAGGGAGCGTCGTTGATACCGTCACCCGTCATGGCGAGGTAACGACCACGTCGCTTACCCGCGGCGATCATGCGCACCTTGGTGGCGGGCGAACAGCGGGCCACGACAAGCGGCAGGTCAGGCAGCGCATCGATCTCGGCGTCCGTCAGTCCATCGAACTGCGCAGCGGTCATGACGGCCGCAGCACCCTCGGTGCCGTCTACGATGGCAACCTCGCGAGCGATGGCGTGAGCAGTGGCAGGGTGATCACCCGTAAGCATGTGGACCACGATACCGGCACGCTTGCACGCCTCGACGGCAGCGCGCGTCTCGGCACGCGGCGGGTCGTAGATACCCAGCAGGCCGATGAAGCGGAAATCCTGCTCGGCAGCAGCACGCGAGAGGCCGTTGACAGTCTCGGTGTTGCTCGTGAGCTTCTTTTCGGTTGTGTTGATGGTTCCAGACTCGTCAGATTCGTCGTCTTGCGAAGCGGCACGGGTGCGAGCGTTCTCGTCCTTGTACTGCACGTCGTCCATGCTACGTTCAGCAAAGGCAAGCACACGCAGACCCTGGGTGGCCATGCTCTCGACCTGGTCGAGGATGCTCTTGCGGGCAGCTTCGTCCATCTCCGAGCAGCAGGCGAGCACCTGCTCGACGGCACCCTTCATGAGGAAGAGGTGGTCGGGGGTGTCGATGACGGTGCGACGGTAGACACTGGTCATGCGCTTGAGCGTGCTGTCGAAGGGGAACTCTTGCTCGTGCTTGTAGCCGGGGTGGTCGCCCTGGGTGAGCGAGTCACGCGACAGCTGCAGCTTGGTAGCAAAGACCTGCAGGGCGATCTCGGTGGGATCACCACGCGCTGTCCAGGTGCCATCCTCGGCCTGTTCGATCTCGGCGATGTTGCAGAGCGAGGCGGCGGTAGCAAGCTGACGAACGGCGTCGGGGATCTGATCATGCTCGACAGCGGTGGGCTCGGCGTCCTTCTCGGATGCAGGGAGGAGGACGCGACCCTTGGGCTCGAAGGCGGTAGCGCCCGACTGCTCGACGTGGAAGCCTTGTTGCTGACCCGAGGCGAACGACCAACCCTGGCGGACGACCATCTTACCCTGGGTGAGGGTGCCGGTCTTGTCACTGCAAATGTCGGTGACGCCACCAAGCGCCTCGAGGGCGTCGAGACGACGAACGACGACGTTGCTCTCGGCCATACGCTTGGCACCCACACTGAAGGTGATGGTGAGCACGGCAACGAGCGACTCGGGGATGACACCGATACCCAGGGCGATGGCGTAGAGGATGACCTCGTTGTTGATGTCGAACTCGGCGACACCAAACACGATGATGGCACAGATGATGGCGAGGAAGAGGAGCACATAGGCAAATTTGTTGAGCTTGATCTGCAGTGGCGTGCCCTCTCGGACGCCGAGGAAGGTGGCGGTGGCGTCCCAGGCTCGCTTGTACCAGGGTCGCTCTTCGTCGTCCTTGTTGCCCTTTTTGGCAAGAGCGGTGGCGATCTGGCCGATCTGCGTGTGCATACCGGTGGCGACGACGATACCGACGGCACGACCCTTGGTGACGGTGGTGCCGGCGTAGGCGAGGTTCGTGCGGTCGGCGGGGCCAAGGTGAGGTCGAGTCAATGCGCCGGTGGTCTTGATGGCGGGGACGGATTCACCCGTGAGGGGAGCCTCATCGATCTCGAGGTTGCTGATGGTGACCAAGCGGACGTCGGCGGGCACGAGGTCACCGGCGCGGAAGTGGACGATGTCGCCGGGCACGAGCTCGGTGGAGGGCAGCTGGCGGATGGTCGAGTCACGGAGCACGTTGGCGCTGGGCGACGAGAGCGTGCGCAGCGAGGCCATGGTGCGCTCAGCCTTGTACTCCTGGATAAAGCCGATGAGGACGTTGGTCACGATGACTGCAGTGACGACACCGCCCTCGACCCAGTCCTTGACACCGAACGAGAGTGCCATGGCGGCGAGAAGGACCAGCGTGAGTGCATTGGCCATCTGGCGGATGAGGATCGAGGTGGCGCTGACGCGATTGGTCTCCTTGAGCTGATTGGGACCATGCTCGGCGAGGCGAGCAGCCGCCTGGTCTGCGGCAAGACCGGTAGTGGTGTTACTTTGAAACTGTGCAATCACCTCGTCGGGCTCTAGGGAATGCGGTTGATGCAGATCAACCGTTGCGGCAACGGTGGAGGATCGACTGCTGCGAGTCGACGAGGTGCTGTGCCGATCGCTGTCGAGCTGGATGTCGACGACAGCGACACGAGGCTCGTCGAGCTGAGCCTTTTCGCTGGCGACATGGTGAGGCTGAAGGTGGTGTTGTTGGTGAGAGTGGAGAGGAGGGTGGGGGGAGTAGCCACTACAAGGAGGCTCTTCAGCGTCGGAAGTGGCGCGGGCTTGGTCGCCAGCGAGCACTGCGGGCTGTGCAGATCCTTGTGCAGGAGCAGAGTTGCAGCCATTGCCGTGAACCATCGGTTTGCGGTTGGGAGTAAAGTTGAGCAGATACTTTCGCAGAGAGCGCGATGCACACGATCTGGTGAGATCAGAGAGAGGAGGTATCGACTTGGATGACAGCAAGAATAACCAATTGGAATGCTCGTCGAGGATGAGAAGCGTTCCAAGATGTTGTGGTCAGATTGAGATTACTTTGCAAACGATGGCCGGGGTGTGCCTGGTCTATATACTAGGTGGCCTGCTTTGAAGCGGAGACTCGTGAAGTGCCTGTTCCAGTCTCGTGTGAGCATGCACTATTCAGCACGGGATGCCGCTCAGCTACTGCACTCCTGTGGTGCACTGCGGTCAGCGGTGACAGGGCGGTGCAGCGCCATGCTGTGCTGTGCAATCGAGTGACGGCTGGCTACGGAATGGCCAAGGCCGGGGCCAAGACGCTTGCCCTGCAAGTAGGGTGAGCACGTTGCGCCCAAGTTGCCGCCGCCTGCATGGAAGCCGGGGGGCGTTGGGGGAAGCTGGGCCCGATGGCGAGCTGCGGCCCGGTGAACTGCTGTCGACTGAGCTGAGCCTGCCTGCCTGCGCTGAGTGTCCAACAGTGCCCCACACGCGCGGCTCTGCTAGACTGCGGGGCTGGTGCCTAAAAAAAGCTCCCCCATCGAGACAGCTGAACAGCCACGGCCCTCGACTCGCGCGCAAAATGACGAGCAAAGGCTTGGCATCTCTTGGCATTTGGCAACCGGGCCTCTGGGCCGGCTTTCTGCCGTCAGCCTGGGGCATCCCTTACACATCGCTCCACGCCGTGCCCATCTTCTGCTGCCCTCTTATCGCGGTCCCCACTCAGCCGGCCAACTGCAGATACATCCGAGCAAAGCGCGATCGCAGCAGGCTGCCAAGTGTTCCCACCCTGCTTGCTTCTCCATTTATGCGAGCATGCTTGGAAGCGCTTGGCTGGGGCTTGGCTTCGGATGGGGGAGAGCCGGCGATATCGCACGGCAGGGCCCACAACTGCAACGTGGAGCGTTTCCCTGGGCTTCGACCGGTCAAGTCGCCATGAGTTCGTGGCGGTGTGTGGCTGTGGAGCCGATCAACTTTTGATCGGGCACCGATTCAACCGATGACGAATTTTTTAGATTTGTTAAGTTCGTCATTGATGGAAAACGCGTCTCGCGAAGTCGGGCGAGGGTGTTGGTCTGCGGGGGCGCATTTAGCGGTCCGTTGAGCCGCAGGTGGAGGAAAGGAGGGCCCAAAATCTCGTCGGGGTCCAGCGATGGCTGGCTGCTGGCCTCGAAGATGAACGCGAGGTTTGCTCTCGATCTCCACCTCACCAGCGTACCCACAGCGTACTCACAAGCTCTAGAGTTCCGAAAGGAATCGACGCATCCAACCTCTAGAAGCGTTGGCAAGATGGCCGACGCAGAGCAAGATTATGAAGCGATCCGGCAGGAGAACATTCGCAAGAATGCCGAGCTGATGCTCAGTCTCGGACTGGATAGCGTGAGTTATGCCCACATCAGCCAGCTCTCGACTACATGCAAGTCTGCAGCCAGAACAATCAGAATGACGCTTAGCTGACCTTGCTGACGTGTCTCCCTTCCAGGCCTCTACACGACTTCGCTCGCCGTCACCGGAGAGAAAGGCGCCGGCGGCCATGAGGCGCACCAATTCGACGTCGACACCCGGTGCAGCCGACCCGGGCTCGGCGCGAAAATCGTCGCGTATCGCCTCTGGCAGCCGTCCTCGATCATACCGCGAGAAGGACCTGCTCTCGTCCTTCAAGAGGCCCACGCAGAAGAAAGAGAAGAAGGTGCGCCAGGGCACACGTAAAAGCAGCCGCGCATCCACCTCGTCAAGAACAAAGTACACCGACTGGAACTCGGACGAAGACGATGACTCGGACGCATATGTCCCACGGTGGCGCGGTGGCAGCGCCTCGGCCCAGCAGAATGGCCATGCGAACGCAGGCAGCGACGACGACGACAGCGATGAAGCGAACAGCAGCCGGGGCTCTCGCACCTTTGACCTTTCCGGTCGTCCGATCCTCAACAAGCTATCCAACCCATCCGCTCCACCACTGCCTTCAAGCGGAGGCGACGAGATCTACGAAGAGAGGATGCCGCTACCCACACGCAAACATGTGGCCAAGGGCAAAGGTCGCGGTGAATTGGTCTTTGAGCCGGAGTTCTCATCGTTCACTCCCAATGTGACACCCGAGGAGATGCTCCGCGGGGGCGCATTTGGTGGCACTGCTTTTCGGTAAGTCGGCTGAGACCATGAAAGCGCCTTTATAGCTGGGGACAACTGCTGACGATCTCCACGCGTTCCATCTTGTTGGTGCGCTGCGTCCACTACATGCAGCGATTACTACTCGAGGGTGCTTCAGAGACCGATCGATGTCGAGGCCGAGCTCAAGGAGCTGCCGCAAGAGTGGCTCGCCGGGCTTGATGTTGACGACATGCTCAGGAGAGACGATCTCGATCCTTCGCGGAACAAGTTCAAGGTCAAGGCCGGCCAATCGCTCGAGGAATGGGAAAAAGCTGGTTGGATCCGTCCGCTCGATCCCCGCGGCTGGTTCCAGTGGTACTACCGGTTCTACCTGGGGCGCCGTTCTGCGGATGATGCGCGACAGATCGGTCGATGGCTCAAGGCGTGCGGCCCCGGAGGACGCTTCCGCAAGTCACTCGCTGTCAACGTCGCAACCAAGGGAGGCGGCCGGTGGGACGATCCCACCGTCAATTCGGTCGTCAGACAGACACTGTGGCAGTGGGGTTACGAGCTGACAGAGAAGCACTATAACGAATACCTCGATAAGGTTTGAGGAGCACCCCTCTTCGATCGAACATCAGCGGTCTCCCTCGCCGGATTTGCCGCGGCAGCACGTGGTCAGGTGGCAGGTATCCGGCACATGCCCGTACTCTCTCACGTCTCGCCAGAGCGTTTCTCGTCGATGAGCGCCACAGCCAACGATGCTTCTGTCACCTGCTTGCACTCTGCAGACAGCGTCTTCGTCGGATATGATCGTCGGATATGATGGGAAGCCGCGGAATTGGCGAGAGACAACCCATGCATGAAGGCTTCTTGGGAGCCCGAGTGGGCCGAATTTGAAAGGCTCGCAATCAGGCTGTACGAGCTGCGGCTGTATTCCGTAGGAATATGCATGGGAAGCGTGGCTTCAGTTTAGGGCGGGTTACCAGGCACCGGCGTGGCGTGACCTTGTACAAGGTTCGTGACATGACAATCTCTCCGCCCTTCAATCTTGATATCGGTGCTTCTCCTCGTGACAGTGAAAGCTACGAACGGCTGCGACTCGCCATCAAGGTGAAAAGCGGGCGGCATCGCCCGGTGTTGCATTGGATTGCCGTCGCGTAAGCCGTGATGGAATTTTACAGCAGCCTCCGCTCCGAGGCCCGACAGTGCCGCATTTCCTCCACAATCGCGCGCTGCTTTGCGACGGCAACATGTGCATTCACGACAGCCTTTGTTTAGGCGGAAAATCGTAGATGCGAGGCAGGGGCGATTGTGCACACCGGTTCGCCGCCGGAAGTACGCACAACTCGAATGATGTTGGCCTCTCCTGCCGGTCAATGCCCAAGGAATTCACACCGCGCGCCGCAAAGGCCTCGTCCTGCTGCCGCAATGACATGACTGACGAGACGAAGGGCTCTGACCGGGCTGGCTCGCCTGCAATCGGCGTCTCAAGGGTCCGCGTCCGCAGCGCTTAGGCCTCAGATGCAGCCCCTTGCCCTCGTATGATTGCTTATCGAACTGGACTGGACCTGGAGGTCCCAGCGCCGTCGATGGTGCCTCGGCTGCCACAAAGCCTGACCTGCTGAAGAGCCCCCACCGCTCTCCTTGTCCTTCCGTCCTCCCACACCATCATCATACGTGCCCCGACCCTTTCGAGCTCCTTCGCTGCATACATCTCGGCAACTGTTTCGTCCAAGATGTCGACTGCCGGGACGGATCGCGTGCTTGGCTGGGCCAGCTCGTATCCGATTTCGACCGCTGTGCTCGGCTTGGTCGTTGCGGCTGTCGTCTATCTCAGTGTCAAGTTCGCCAGCACGGGTCCGTCGGTATGGGCCAACTTACCTGGTCCGGAGAGGTCCTCGTTCCTTCTGGGCTACTCGCGCGATAACAAGAAGAAGTTCGGTGTCAAGGATGCCAACGCACCGGACCGCGAGCCGATTCTGGGTGACGATGGAGACGACATCACCGAGACGCCCGGTGTGGCGACGTACCGGCTGTTCGAGGAGCACAACACCGACCACCTCGTCTTCCCGCGTCCGCTCGGTGGCGAGCTGCTCATCACGCGCGACGCCGCCACCATGAACGCCGTGCTCAACGACAGCTACAACTACACGCGTAGCAGTGCCGGCACCAAAGCTACACGCTTGATCATTGGCGACGGCGTCGTCGCTGTGTTTGGCGATGAACACAAGAAACAAAGGAAGATGCTCGCACCGGCCTTCAGTGTTGACTCGCTCAAGGGGCTCATGCCGATCTTTACACACGCGACCAACCAGATGATGGATCGCTTCGAAAAGGACACGTCGCTCGAAAAGCGTTGGGGCGCCGATGTGCGCGATGGCGTCAAGTGGTTCGGCCGTGTGACGCTCGACATCATCGGCCGCGCGGGCTTTGACTACGACTTTGGTGCCGTCGAGCAAGGGCCCAACGGCCTTGCTGTTCGTTCGACCTTCCATGCGGCCATGACGTCGACGATGAACGTGTCGCCCCTCGACGCCATCGTCGGTGCCTTCATGTTCTTCGTCGTGCCCTCGCTACTATACATCCTGCCGCTCACGGACAACGTTCGCAAGCTGCGCGAGATGCGTTCGGAGCTCATCAAGGTGTCGCAAAAGATCGTCGCCGCCAAGGCCAAGCAGATCCGCAAGGAGCTCGAGGCGGGCGTGGATGCCAAGGAGACGTTTGCGGGCAAAAAGGACATCTTGCACTTGCTCATGCGCGCCAACATGTCGCCCGAGATCCGCGAGGAAGATCGCCTGTCGGACAGCATTCTCGCCGGTCAGATCGTAACATTCATCTTTGCCGGACACGAGACGACGGCCACGACGCTGAGCTGGTGCACCTACTTCTTGGCGCTCAACCCGACATACCAGCAAGAGCTGCGCAACCACATCCAATCTACGCTGCGTGCGCTCGGCAAGGACGCCGACATGATTGACGAGCTCAGCTGGGCCGACCTCAACGGCGACGAGATGCGTCCGCTCGACCACTGCATCCAGGAGACGCTGCGTCTGCGTCCGCCCGTCGTCACCACGTTCCGCTACACGACCAAGGAGGACCAGCTGCCCGTCACCACACCCTTCAAGACCAAGGACGGACGCACGCTCAGCTCGATCCCCGTCTCGCCCGGCAAAGAGATCGCCATCTCGGTCACGAGCAACAATCTGGACCCCAAGTACTTTGGCCCGGACACGCACCTTTTCAAGCCGGACCGCTGGAACAATCTGCCCGAGCTGCACGCCAAGTCGAAGCTGCCTTCGCCGTACGGCTCGTTCGTCTTCAACGGCGGACCCAAGGTGTGCATCGGCAACAAGTTCGCCATGACCGAGATGAAGATCATCCTCGTTCGCGTGCTCGCCAAGTACCGCATCGAGCGTGTCGAGGGACTCAAGTACAAGAGCATCGAGGCGGTCGTGCAGCGTCCGGCCGTGATCGGATTCGAGAAGGAAGGAAGCCAGCTTCCGCTTCGCTTCGTCACTGACCCTCTTTGATTTATGTCTGCAACTCTTAGACGGCTCCCTATGGAGAAGCTTTGGAATTGGAACTCTCCGCATGTGCATCAGTCGGATCGCAATCGCATCAGTCAGTTCGTGTCAGGTGGATCGGATGTTCCAAAAAGTGCTTTGGGAGAGCGGGAGGGGGATAAAAAAGTACAAGAGTCTAAGGGGGGAGGGAGAGGCATCTGTGCTGGCGTGATTGTGCGCCGAGATCAGGGAGCCGATTTGGTGAGATCGAGGTCCTTGAGCTGAGCCTTGGCGATGTCGTAGCAAAGGCCGTGCACCTGGACCTTGTTCATCACCTTGCCGCTGAGCGGCGAGGTGACGCCCTTCCAGTTGTCCTGGATAATGTTGGTCGACACAATGTTCTCCACCTGCAGCTTGACCGACTCGTAAATGACCTTGTCCGCAAGCTCGGCTCCCTGGAGCTCTGGGTTGGCCTCGGTGACTTTCTTGGCGACCTGGGTGAGGGGCACGAGGTGACGCAGCAATGCGCTGGACTCGAGCGCATCCTTGGAAGGTGGGGCGCTAGCGCCAGCAATGGCGGCAAGGACACCTCCGCACGAGGTGTGGCCGACCACGACCACGTGCTCGATGCCCAGCGCCTGAACTGCAAACGTGAGCACGCTGAGCGCGTTGTCGTCATCGAGACGGAACTGGTTGGCAATGTTGCGCGTGACAAAGATGTCCCCTGGGTTGGCGTCGCAGACGACCGATTCGGGAACGCGCGAGTCCGCACAGCCGATCCAGAGGATCTTGGGCGTCTGTGTCTGTGCGAGCTGCTTGGCGAGCTCGGGCTTGGTCGCCGCGAAGTTGGCACTCCACGACTGGTTCTTCTGCAAGAGATCGCTGACCTGGAACATGTTGTTAGCTGGTCGGGTGGTGGAGAGTTGACGAGTGGTGGTGGTGGGAGAAGCGCAGGGGACACGGGAGGAAGAAGCAAAGGTGCGGACGGAGAGACGAGAGCCGTGACGACGTGCCAGGCTAAAAAGCGAAGATCGAGGGATCAACGTGTACATCCAAACGTTGCCTAGAACCGAGGCGGTGCGAGGGGTAGAAGCGATAACGGATAAGGAGATTGTGGTCGAAAGAAAAGCGATTACAAATGCCGAGCAATGGTGGGTGCGTTCGAGGCGGACGTGCTTCTCGGTGGGAATGGCGGGACGATGTTGGGTTTGGGAGCCAGGCTTCGTTCTATGCGCAGGAGCGATGTCGTCTGGGCTCCTGACTCGAGTCAGGTTGTGCGTCTGCGCAGCCGCATTTCATGTCGGATCTGCAGGCCAAGTGGAGAAGAGCGCAAGGGATGGGCTGGAAGAAACCGGCTCGTGCGTTGCCGAGGAGCCAAGACACCTTTCCCCCTGGCTGCCTGCAAGATGGCAACAAAGACCGTGCGGGATTTGGCTATCAAAAATTTCCAGCTAGCTCAGGCCCCAGGCACATGGTTGGGCTCGAGATCCGCCCTTCCGATCCCCAAAAAAGATCGAACGTCGCAAAGCCGACCGACCCACAGAAAAGAAGAAAATGCAACTCAAACTCGACTCTTTTGAAAAAGGCTTGCAGTTAAATCTTCCAAATGCCGGCATCTGCTGCAACCTCGCTCTGCTGCTGGATCAGCATCGGCCAACAGCGACCGAACTCAATCGGCATCAAAAACCGCACCCACATGCACACTTTTTTGGGCGTGCTGTGCTCTGTACAGGCTGAGCTTGAATAGCTCGAGGCCCGATCTTCATCCAGTCTTCTCGTTCTGGCCCGCACCATCACACCATGCTGCCCCGCCCAACCTGACAGCCGCTATGTCCGGGATGCCCGGTCGCCGCTTCCGACCTGACTCACGGCACACCCGAGCCAACAAGCTCCTCGAGTCAGACAGTCGGACTCAGTAGCAAAGCAGTGTGTATGGATGGAAAGCCACGACAAATGTATTGTTCATGATGCGATGGGGCGGGTGGAGAGGGAAGGAAAAGCAGGAACCAGAGAGCTAGAGAAGCAGTCGATGCGAAGCTAGACCGACTAGCTGCCGCCGCGAGGCAGGTTGAAGTCGAGCAGTGGCTGGCTGTGACGACGCTGCGATCGGTCGCCAGCTCCTTGGCTCAATCGTCGCCTGTCGGTCTCGCTCAACCGCTTACGCTGCTGCGCGGCCTGAGCAGGGAACGGATTGGCCGTCGATCGCTCGGGTCCAGCATTGGGCTGCGGCGAAGTCGGACGAGTGCTGCTCGGCGTAGGAGGATTCGAGGGTCTCGCCGCCCGGGGGTCCAGCTGATCCATCCCAGAGACCGACTTGCGCCATTCGGCAGCCCGGCTGATGCCCGCCGAGTCACGGCTCTCTTCGCCGACTGCCTCGAGCAGTGTCGCGCTTAGCGCGCGGGACCGCCGACGTTCGTCGCGCGAGCTACCAGAGACAGGCCTTTGCAGGTCGGGAGAACCGATGCGGCTATGCGAAGGCGAGACGAGCCCGTCGCCAGCCGCTGCTGCCGCTGCATGCTTGTGAGCTTCGCGCTCTTGCATGCGCCTCCTCTCCAGCTTCTGCTTACGCTCCCAGTCCTCCTTGGCTCTACGCAGAGCATCGGCTTCCTGCACCGTCTGGGTAGCAGGCGCCTGCAGCGCAGCCAGCTTGGCGCGATGGCGCGCCTCCAACTCTTCAATCGACATGGCGCGGACTCGCGGCTGCGAATCGGCACTGGCAGCGCGCTTGTGCGCAGAGCCGCCTTGTCCCGTGGCGCCGGGGTTGGTCCACGGCACCATCGGCTGGTCACTGCGACGCTTCGCGAGAGACTGGCGAGCTTGCGTGACCGCATGGCTCTGGCCACCGCTGATCATCTTGGAGGCGGGGACGGATGGAGAGTACGTGGGCGATGCCAGAGGACTCTGTCGCTGCATCTCTGCAGTGTAGTGTCCTGCGTGCGGGTCCACGTATAGAGCTGCCGTATGAGGCTGCAGCTGGCCCTGATGTGAATGGCTCTTGGCCATTGGCGTCATGCTTGCCAGACCGGGCCCACTTGGTGCGCTCGGGTCGGAGAAGGTGCGTTCGTGCAGAGCCGCTGCAGATGCTGCCGTCGGGCCAAGTTCGGGCCCGGACATCGCGCTCGCGCTGCGATTCGGCTGAGCCGATGGAAGGATCCGAGCGGCATCTACTGCAAAAGTAGAGCTTGTGGAGCTCATCGTCCTGTTCGAGTCGACTGTCGGGCGACCCGCGCTGTTTTCGAGATCCAGTCTGGGCGGCACAGGGTCCAGGAAGCTGGCATTGTTTTCCATCAACGCAGCCGTTGAGGCTGATCGCCTGCGGAACGAGTCGGGTCCTCCAGCAGGATCAGGCGACGTGGCGCGCGCCATGTCGAGCGACTTTGGCGGCTGTGGAGTGTGTGCGCCTGGTCGCGGAGCGCTGCTCATCGGACTCATGGGGAAGCTTTCAGCAGGTGGTTGCATGTCACCCAGAGGAGCGCCGATGGTGCTCAGGTCGAGCTGCAGGGGGCCTTCGGGCTCCACGCGTTCGGGCCCTCTCTGGATGTACTCGAGGAATTGCGAGCTGCGGCGACCGGCCGATTGGGCGGGGAAGGGGAAGGCCACATTGTCGAGTGTGCTCGAGGCGCCTGGCGAGTCGGCCAGCTTTTCCATATGTGAGGTCGGCGTGGCCAGTTGAGTGTTGTCGGTGTTGGAGCGGAGCAGGGTCATGAAGGAGCTCGTACGGCTGCGGGCGTCCTTGAGATCAGGCGTCGAGGCAGCAGGAAGTGCCATCTCTTCGTCCCTGGAAGCTGGGTTGCCGGTGGCGGTCTTCTTGTATCCGTGACGAGCTTCCCACTCGGCCAGGTCGCGCTTGGCCGTTCGAGCGACGGCACGCGCTGCGCGCTCGGCCTTGGAACGCAGGTTGCGCTTCTCGTCGGAACGCTTGAGCACGGCGAGCTGGGTGCGAAGATCGGACCAGAGGCGCATCTGGAAGGCGAAGCCCATGAGGATGAGCGCGCCCAAGACACCGAGCTCGATCTGCATGCCTTGCACCAGGGGAAAGTGGCCATTCTGGAAGACGGGTGGGTACTTGTTGCTGAAGAGCGCATCAAAGCCGAGGTTGCGAACGTAGAACTCCTTGAGACCTTGGGTGGAGAAGCAGTCGATGCCGAGCGTCACGGCGGTGGCACCGATGATGGCGGTCGCCAGCGCAAGCATGAGCGAGTGGACTCGCTCTATGCAGCTGACCGTGAAAAAGAGGGCATAGAGGCCGATGTAGAGGATGAAGCGGAGGCCGATGGGGCGGATCAGTCCACCTGGGCGAACGGCTTGGATGAAGAGGCCGAAAAAGAAGCCGCCGAGGCCACAGGCGAGTAGGCCGGCGCCGCGCCAGAACACAATGGAAATGATGCCACCGACTGCACCAGCAATGACGGCAGCTACGAGGAAGAGGCCACGGATCGCCTTGGACGGAGGGTTGATGGCAGGCTCGACGCCGACTTTGAGGATGATGGAGATGCAGATGAGCGCAAGGGCAAAGAAGCCGGACAGGAAGTAGCTCGACCATCGGTTGCGGTGGCCGTAGAAGCCCATGGGAAGACCGGCGCCGATGAGGATGACGCCCAGGACACCAAAGGCGGGGTCGATGATGGTGTCAAGTGGTAGTGATGTGTTTGCAGCCTTGATGGAGGCGGACGAGGTGGCGCTGGCGGCCGAGGATATTGTGGAGGTGGCATTCTGAGACACAGGCACCACGGTGGAGACGGGAATGTACCAGACACTGCCGTTTGAGGACGCTGAAGCAGTGAGGCTGGTAGGCAGTGACTGACCGCTGCTGAGCGTGGTGGTGATGGTTGACAAGACGGTGGTGTTGGCTGGCGTCGGCGATGCGGAAGCCGTGGGCGCACCCGTCGGAGAGCTTCCTGAGACGCTTGATGTCGAAGACGCTTGTTGTGCTCGGGACGCCGGAAGCGAGATCAGAGCGAGCGCGATGGCCACGCTGGCGAGGGAAGTGAAACGCATCGTGAGATCCGCTGCCGCTTGCTTGGACGGGGCCGACGTCTATGGAATGCGGAGGGAGGAGACGGAGGACGAGACTAGGGGGGCCTAGGTCGGAGGTCCGGGTCTGTGGCGAGCACGCTGTGTGTTCGAAGTCGTGATCAGCAGCCAATGTCCATCTTGCGGCCGAAGGATGAAAGGGAGGAGTGGTGAAGGCGGAAGGACGGGGTCGGATCTGGAAGCTTCAGCGACGAGGGGGAGGAGGAGGCCTTGGCCGTGGGCGATTCTTTGGGCTCTCACTCCGGCACGGCGGTATGCGTCCTCCTGTCAGCGGAACTGAAGCCGATCTGGGCTTAGCTGAGAGGCTCAAGTCGACGAGGTGTTGGGAGATCCTTGTCGAGGCCTAAAGGGCTGTGAAAGATGAGCAAGGCCAGGGTCTCTATGTTGGTCCCGAGCTGGCTGGGCGATGTCAAGGCGGCACGGCTGTGTACAGTAGCGGCGGACGGTCCAGCCGAAGAAGCTTTGCGCGCAAAGTCGAGCGGGGCGAGGTTTGAGCAGGTGGACCCAGAGGAAGCGAGGCCAAGCGATGCGGACCAGGGATCGCAGTAGTGTCGGACCTGACAGGCGGAAATGGGGGCGGCGCACCCTCTAGCCGAGTCGACCTGCCAAGGAGTATCGAAGGATGAGGAAGCGCTTCGGGACCAATGAGTGGCGCGTTCTGCGTCTTGCGAGCGGAGCTCAGAGAGGGAAAGCGGGAGAGAGAGATGGAGAGAGGACGGGGCGGCGCAGCAGGTTCCAGCCCTCGGCGCGGAAAATCGCTCACAATTTCAATTTCCGCCTATCCGGCCGTCATCGTGCCCATCGACACGTTGCCGTCTTACCGGTGAGTCTGTTGCACCTTGTTGAACGTCTATGAAATGGGATCACCTCGCATGTAGCGCAACGCTGTGTGTTGTCTCACACAAGTCTTGCAGCACGGCGGAATGAAGTCAGGAGCCTTCGCAGCGCGGCAAAGAGGGGCCGTTTGCAGCTGTGGGTCGACGCCACGCTGCGGTGTGATGGTGCAGGGCCAGTCGAGATTCGTAGTTGGGTTCCGAAACTTGGAATTGTTTGAGCATCACGTTGTTTGTCCTGCGATGCAGGCTGAAGTGATTGTACAGTGTGCTGTGCTGGGCTGGGCTCGATCTCTCTACTCGTTGAAGTTTCGAAGTCTCCGGAGGGCCGTGGTCAAGGGTTCAATTGCGCGGTCGGTTCAGCCGGCCAATCACACGAGCCTCTGTTGCTGTGGCGCTCCATCTTGTTCACATCTCCCCTCTCTTCGACCGCACTTTCGTACTTTCGTAGTCTGTGCTGACTTGATGGCAAACTTCATATTCCATTGTTGCCCATTCCGCAGCAATGGAACTGCCATCAATGAAGGCGTCGAGGCCAGCATCAAAGCCACCTCATTTTTTCAGGGTCTAGCAAGGTGTCAAACTGCGACTCGCTTAGCTCGCCGCGCGCACAGGCCGGGGCACAGTGAGACCATGTGGATCGTGGAGATCGAATTGAGACGAGAAAAAGAAGGCTCTGGCAGGCGGTGTTCGGATGAGGCGCCGAAAAAATGCCGCGAAAAAGAAAACGAAAATCGACATCCGAAAAGAAATAGGTTAAAACGCGAGGTTCGCAACTCCAACCTGCAGTTGGGCTGTGCGTGCCTGCACGACCAAGGTCACCCTGCAGCTGATAAAGTCGATTCGGTGGTTCAAGAAGCTCCTTCGAGAAAAGGCCGCATGGTGTGGCGGCATGTTTTGATCAGGCGTGGGTGCGAGTTTAAGCACATACGCATCTCTCCCCGCAACATCTCATCATCGGCCCGTGGCTCGCTTGGCTCGCTTGGCTTCGGCACACGCGCTCGCATCATGCGAAGTGCAAAAGTTGAGATCAAGCCGAATCGCCGCTGTGCTGCAGCCGTGAGACTGCGCTCGATACGCAGTGCCGAACGTGCTCGTCGTTACATTTGCCATAGTCTTGCGCCTTGGATCTTCATTGCAGTACACGGGTGCCATCAATGCCAGCACACGCCTCGGGTGCTGCGGAACTGGTGCCCGACAGTCCCGTGGCATGCACACATCCTTCTTTTGCATGTTTTGGGAGCGTCGAGAGCGGGGTACTGGCACGCCATGGGACCATCTCTTCTGTGAACAGCATTTGCTCGTTTGTGGTGTCAATCACTCCGCGCGGGCTTGGCTCTCCGATCACAGGCTTGGTCTTGCTTGCTGCGAGGCTTGGAGTAACATGGAAGCGTAGGTCGGAGAGTTTCGATGAGCGATGCTGTCAGGTGGTTTTTATTGGTACCTCATTTCTAGCAGTCTTTTTTTCGCGCCCCGCATTTCGTTCCGGCAGCCGCCTGAGGCTCGAGTCTACGGTATGTGCTTAAGCCTGCCGTGGATTCAAGCTCAATTTGGGAAGAACCGGCAGCCGACGGTCTCCACCACCCGTACTTCGACTCGATACCGAACTCGAGTTTGTGGAGAGGTCCACATATGATAATGCGCATGCAAGCTTAAGCACGCCTCCGCAGGCTTTGGAGGCGGCGCTGAGCGGAGAAGGGCGAGTCGAGATACCTCGGCGCAAAAATGATGCGCTTGCCGATGTAACATCCTAAAATGGGTTCCCTTTGTGCGGGATGCCGCGCTTTGGCGAAGATTTCGAAGAAAACCAGGCAGACGGCAGCTGCTGCGCTGGACCCGCGAGTCGATCAGCACCCGCACCCGCGCGCACACTCAGCCTCGCCGCGCCGTGCCGCGCCGTGGCGGTTTTGCAGTTTGTACGTCGACCGCGCCGCCTCAACCTTTCCTTCTCTGCGTCCTCGACACCATCTCGACCGGGATCACCACGCACATATACACCGACATGTCTGTAGCAGCCGCCGCCGCCCGAGCGGTACCAGCCGTCGCTCCTGCCGCTGCTCCTGCGCCTCAGGCTGCCGCCAAGCCTGTCTCCAGCGAGGCCCAGGCCGACCTGGACCGTGCCGCCCTCGAGGCTCTCGAGCTCGACTCGGACGTCATCACCTCCGTCCGACTTGACGGCCTCGCCCTCACCAAGATCGTGAAGCACTGCCGCGATGCACACCCCGCCTCCGCCTCCGGCGCCCTCCTTGGTATGGACCTTGGCGGAACGCTCGAGGTCTCCAACGCCTTTGCCCTGCCCAACCCCGGCCGTGGAGGTGCCGAGCGCGACGAGGAGGACGACCGCAGCAGCCGCAACGCCACCAAATATACCACCGACATGGTCCAGCTTCTCCGCGATGTCAATGCCGACGCCAACCCCGTGGGTCTCTACCAGGGCTGCTTCCTCGGCGCTTTCCTCAACTCGTCGGTCGTCGATGGCCTCGCTGCCATCGCCGGCCTGATGGAGCGCGACGGTGCCAGCGGCCGAGGCAAGGGCGTCCTCATCGTCCACGACCTTGCCCAGTCTGCCCAGGGCAACACCGCGGTGAAGGCGTACCGCCTCTCGCCTTCGTTCGTCGAGGCCCACAAGAAGGGCAAGTTCCACACCCAGAGCCTCATCGACCACAAGCTCACCTTTGCCAACATCCTCGTCGAGATCCCCGTCTCGCTCCGAAACACCGCTCTCCTCGACGCGTTCCTCAGCAGCATCTCCACACCAAGCGCACCGGGCCCTTCCATCGTGCAGCCCAGCACCTCGGACCTGCTGCGCAACCCACCCACCGCCGCGCTCGCCCCTTCGTATACCTCGCTCAACCTCGCATTGGAGCCCGTGCTCGCCTCGTCGCTCGAGGCGACGCTGGAGATCATGGACGAGCACGCCGCCGAGGCCGGCAACGTCGGCTTCCAGGCGCGCCAGCTCGCCCGTGAGAAGGCCAAGGCCGACGCCTACCTCACTCGGAAGAAGGCCGAGAACGCCGCACGCGAAGCTCAGGGCCTGGCGCCTCTTCCCATTGAGGACGTCAACCGCCTGTTCAAGATCCCCGCCGAGCCCTCGCGCCTCGAGGCGACGCTGCTGCTCGGCCAGATCGACAGCTCCGCGAAACGCCTTGCCGAGACTGCAGCCCTCGGCGTCATTCAGCTCAACGCCGCCAAGACGGGCGCTGTGTAAAAGTAGCTCGTGCTGCAAGTCATCGGTCTAGACCAAAATCGTATGCTTGTGCGTGAGCGTGCGTGCTCAGCCTTCGACAATCACCAGTCGTCGTCGTGTCAGAGCCGTTCGAGCTCGTACAACGCAACCTGTCGACGCATTCGGCTCGGTCAGCGGCCAACAGGCCCGGCCACGTCAATGTATCGCAACCTTCATCTCTCGCCTTCACGGCGGCTTCGTGCAACCCCTGTAGTTATACTCATCCGGCAACTCTTCTGCATAGTGATATTCCCACCTCCTCTCGGACGGACCTCGCCGTGGAGGGTGCTCATCTTGGCGCACATGTGCATCCCACTCCATTAGTGCATACCCCGACTTGTTCAGAGGAGGAAGAAGGGTCCGGCAGATTGAGCTAGAAATTCGGATCAGATGTTAGGGTGCAGTCCTCTGACAACTTGAAAGCCGGCCTTCGCGTGGATCTTGCTGCGAGAGGGGCATTCGTACGAGCAGGCGCCCGCCAAAATTCGAAATACAGTTCTACACGTGATCAAAATCGAGCAATGGCGGCCGCGGATCCGAAACGTTCACCAAGAATCGAGGCTGCGCTCTGCTTTCGACAGGCGGGGGGAGACGCTCGAAGCGCTGCCTTCGCAAGCACAGCCTAGAACCGGACGAGGCAGTGTGCAAGTTCGATGCGTGCCGTGGCTGAGGGCAAGCAGCCAGGCTGCGGGTCGGGGCGGCCAGGTGCGCCGTCTGAGTATCGCAACATCCTCCCTCTCCTGCATCTTCCGCGATACCATCACCTCAAGATCGATATCTAAAGTAAGTGTTCAGCACATCTACCAGCATCATCCGCATCTCTACGACGACTCGACAAAACATCATCAGGGTACGTTGGACGCAGCATTGGGACGTCGGCAATCCGGACACGAGAGCCGAATCGTGGTGGATCATTGGAGTGGTGCGAGCACACGAACATCGACGATTGAGGACGACACTCTCTACCATTTACACTCCAGCACGTACAACGGACATCACGGTTCATCGCATCACCAACTTGATCCAGTAAGACGTAAGCGTCTCGTGGCCAAACCGCGACCACCCGAAATTATCCTGCCCCGAAATCTTCGACCGCCTCCAGCACCTGCATGCCTGCCGTACTGTCCCCCTTCAGCTCCGCTGCGCTGAGGCCGGAATACATCATGGTCCATCACCCCAATCGGTCCGACACTTTGCAGCAGCAGTTCAGCATTCGGGCGCATCTTCCATCACCTCGACACTCCATATCATGACTGCCTGCATCAGGATCGCAAGGTCGATATCATACTTGCGACAGGAACACCAGCACAGGATTGGATGGCGTTGAAGAGGTTGATGAGCGGAGCCCAAGATTCGTGATCTCAGGACCCACTGTGACCGTGGGCATTGGCCCTCGTCTATCCTCTTCGGACTCGCACGTCTTCAAGCATCTCGACACAGATCACCGCCGACAGAACCGACCCTATCGACCTTGATACAAACAGAGATGCGGATCGCTGGTAGCGATACGATACATTGCAGCATGCCCACAGCCGACTCGAGCCAGGTTGCTGACCATTCCGACTTTCACCCCTCTCCGTTGCATCGCTTTGCTCATACTCACAGATGGCGGACACCAAGCAGACTCAGAAGGGCAGGAAGACCCGCTCGGCTCTCAACGATGTTGTGACCCGCGAGTACACCGTCAACCTGCACAAGCGCGTCCACGACACCGCCTTCAAGAAGCGCGCTCCCCGCGCCATCAAGGAGGTCGTCGCCTTCGCCCAGAAGGCCATGGGCACCCAGGACGTCCGTCTCGACCCCAAGCTCAACCAGGAGGTCTGGAAGTACGGTGTCAAGAACTTCCCCCGCCGCCTGCGTGTGCGCCTCGAGCGCAAGCGTAACGACGACGAGGGCGCCAAGGAGAAGCTCTACACCTACGCCATGCCCGTCCTCGGCCTCGGCACCTGCAAGGGCCTCCAGACCACCGTCATTGACCAGGAGTAAATTCTACTCCCTCGGTCGTGTCTCTTGGTCTCGCACTTGCATCTTCTCCCACCTCCTCTTCACCTTTTACGTCTAGGATCCATCCAGCATCACAGTGCCACGGTCTCGCAGTCAGGGCCGTCGTCTCGCTTTCTTCACACTGCTGCATCCGCTGTCGAGGCAACGCTGCGAGCTTGCGTTGTTCTCCTCGCCAGTTCCATCCATTCCCGATACTGGGGCGATGGTCTATTTAGGCCTCGCTCCATCCTGTACCTCTACAAAAAGCAAAGCTCTACCACCAAAACAAGTCTGTTTACGCCAGCACGTCGTGTACGACCGACCGCCAGTGTGATGTCGACGCGCACTGTGGTAGCGCAGTGGTTCGGCATTGGAGGAGCATTTCCGTGGGCTGAGACGGGCGCTTTCGAGCGCAGCACGTTCGCGAGCGATGGTGAAACGCCAGTGCAAACTTCAATGAGTCGGTCACAACTGGCTCACTTTCGGTGGCGAGCAGGGCGAGGATGCGCATTGGACGTCCGCCGGCTGGGAGCAGGCTAGGCTGAGCTGCTAGCCAAATCAGACGTGAATCGGAGACGTTCTGAATACGAGCCCGTCTGCGGCCACCGACGGCTTTCTCGCTACGGCGTGAATGACTGAGGCTGAGCCGGGTATCACCAAACCCTCTCTCTCACGCATTGACGGTCACATTCGAAGTCACATCCACAGCCACGTTCACACGTGAGGTTCTTCTGCTGATGCGGAATCTCGCTTCGCATGACTGAGGCGAGACTTGTTGAGCTCACAGGTTGATTCTGTGGCTTGGCTACGGCGATCTCGCGATGGCTCGGATCACCCGTGATTCAAAATGGCTCCGTGCTATGGCTCGGAAGCAGACCGAATCGCTCTCTCAAAGTTCCGACCTTGCAAACTGGCGCTTTGCTCTCTGAGAAGGGGGGCCGTGCCGAGGGTCCTTGTGAACCGGAAGCGAAGCAAGACCTGCTAAGCTTACGCTGGCGAAGGCGCGCCGCACGGACAGCTCGGATCTTCCGCAGGAGGCAAACATAAGCCCGCCCTCCATCGGTTTCCGCGGCCCAGAGTCAACGCCTCGGATGTCCCGCTTCCTTACTGCCACTTCGTGGTCCGTCGGGGCATCACCGCAAAGTGGGGCTGCTTGATGCAGCGGAAGCGGAAAGGCACCGGGGTTAGGGCGTCCCGAGCCAACTGCTTTGGCAGCTCGCGAGGCGAACTGTCACCAGACCCTGCGTTGACTCCTCTTTGGCCCTCTGTGCTCTCAGGAGGTGGGCCTCGACAGTCTCCCGCCGCCTTTCACCCATAGGTGGATGAGGTGGTAATGCAGTGGAGCTGGCTGGCTGGCTAGCTGGCCACCCGCCCGCCCTCCAGGGATGCAGCAGGCGATCTACTGTAGTCAACAGACCCTGCGCTGTCGGCTCGCTTGGCGCGCCTCGTGCCCAGCCGACCAGCCAAAGTGGAGGAGCGGTGGCCGAAATTTGCGAGATTCGCCAAAGTGAGGGTGGGAGGAGGGATGAGAGTCGCCTCGTGCCTTGCCTCACGCAAAATCGACGTCCGCAGCGCCGTCTGTAGCCGACGATCAGCGAGCACGGACTCCAACCCGGCTTGCCGCCGATCCCGACTCTGCCTGCCTCCGCTCATTTGCGCGAGCTTCTCTCCCCCAGGGTGCCTCCGCTGCTGCTGCTGCTGCTGCTGC